TCCGGTGACAACAGCCCTCTCCTCTGGGATGGTAAGCTTGCTAGTCGCCCATAAGCGTGATTGCACAGAAATCACTAAGAAGAAAGGCAGGTTGCTTATCTGTACCTGTCATTCTTTGAGTGGTCATCTGTCATTCACAAAACCCACCCTCTGCCCTGCTGGGTGTTGTCATCTTGCTGCCCTGTGTGGGCCTCATTCTTCGGATTCCTCGCCCACCCGGGATAATGCAGTCTTCAGGCAACTGAGGGACTGGGTGGCAGCCCCTCCCTTTATGCTACCTGCACAGGGAGTGGGGCAGACTCCCGCCCTCCCACCCACTCCATGACCCCGAGCTTTGGAAGTTTACTCCGATCGAGGTCTTGCACTCCACGGCAAGCCCATATGTGTGAATGCACAGATGACCACTCAAAAAATGACAGTTACAGGTAAGCAACCTGCCTTTCCTTGTCCTACCTGTACTGGGAAGGTAAAGTATCCCAGACCTGCACATTGACCCTGACTAGGATGATAATTTGTTGCCCACCAATCAAAAACCACAGATTTGGATCCTTTATCCACCTTCCACATAGTCCTCCCATACCAGAATAGATAGCCTTCATCCTTCTCTCTGGTATGTACTGTGGATACAGATCAATGAATGACGTTCCAAGCGCGAGTGGGGTCTCCTTAAGTCCCGTTATACCCCCACCACCCCAAAGCCAAAACTTTCTTTTCAAGCTGTATTCTAACAACCTACCCCAGGCCTTCCATTTCTTATTCCACTGCCCTAAAGACCAACAGCAGAAACAAAGTCCTGGGGTAATCCTTGTCATTTGTATTTTCCTCCTTGTTGTAGTGTTCATCATCCCTGGAGGCCTAACAAATAATCTATTTTGATCCATCATGTTCTGTAATTCTGCTACTATTGGGTGGGGTTTTGTATAAGAGCAGGTATGAAGGAAAAATCCTTAACTGTTATAGGTTGTCCATATATTAAAATAACATGCTCCCCATGCTCATTGAACATGTGTGAAGCATGTTGCAGGAACCAATTAGCCTCTCCTCCTTTTAAAAATATAATTACCATGATTCCAAAGATGAACATGGTGTCTTATGTTTTTGTTTTTTTCCTAATTACCTGCCCCCCTTCTCCTTTTAGGCCAATAGCAAACCCCAGTATAAATTGAAGTCTTTTAATCTTTTCTTTGCTCTACAGGGTATCCTTCACCTTTAGAATATTTTCCCCAATTCTGTGGATTTGCAGAAAATACAGCAACAGACTATAGGTACCATCAACCTTCTTTCCTAAACTCAAACATCCACAGCTCTCCTGCCTTTTCTTTTGCCTAGGCTCCCCAGAGCTGCCCTCCTAGGGGGGAAGGTCACCTTTCCCCAAACTGCACCCTAACTCAGACCCACGGGTCCCTTGGTTGTCCTGATGACTTGTGCCATCATTTTGACCTCCTTTTCTTCCTTCTCATCCTCCCTCCTTGCTTTCTGTGCCTCTCTCAACAAATCTTCCAGCATCCTTACCTCCCATCCATCTAATTTCTGCAGCTTCTGCCTAATGTCTTCCCACGCCTTCCCCACAACTGATTCTTTAGCAAAGTCAGATGGGAATTTTCTGAATTCAGATGCCCATATTTCTGCATCTGCCCGTTCAGTCTCACCAGCCTCTCAGATGGAGTTTCATCTTTCTTTTGCTCTAGGGAGAGAACTTTACGCACATTCAGAGACTGAGATACTGCTTCTTTAATTCCCTTAATCATGTACTGACAATATCTACTAATCAACTCAAACTCCCCATCATCATTAGCATCCCACCTGGGATCCCCTTCTGGAACCTGATTCAGGGCATCCCCCTCTCTTGCAGGGTTCTCTCTGATTCACACCGCTCTAGTGGTTCATCAGATCAGTCTCAATTCCTCACCAGAAAACAAAATTCCAAAAATAGATTGTAATTCCCTCCAAGAATAATCATCCGATTCCAGCAGCTGGTCTACCTGTTTCCGCAAATCAATTAGGTCCTCAGCAAGCTTAGGCAATTCTTTCCTTAAAAAAGTCTCAGCTCTGCTGCACTCAGAGTCGACTCCACAAACCCGAATCCTCCATTTGCCAGGGGTACCTGCCTAAAAGGAGCCATAGTAAGATTCTGCTGCCCTCACACCTTAGGACCAATTGTTGAGCATTCCCCCTGTGAGCCATAGCTAAGTTTGTCGTGTAAGGCAGAATTTCCATCCATCAAGCTCTGAACCTCCTTAGGGAATTCAGGGAATGAAAAAGTGGTTCCCAAGGCACTTTCATCCTCCCTCGGGTATGGTGGCAAATTATCTAAGGGATCCCAGGATTTTAAGGCCTCCAGATTGGTTGAAGCTGAGGCAGGCAGCCACCCACCCACATACCTAGATTCCTTAGTCCCAGATTTGGTTTGATTTATTGTCATTACCACTAACATAGCAGGAAGCTCATGTAATATTGATACATAAAGAAGACAGTGGTCCTGTGTTACCACACTCTTATCCAGCAATTTGTGAGCCGCCCCAAGGCTTCGGCGAATGGGGCGGCATAGAAGTTCCCTAAATAAATAAATAAATAAATTTCATTATTAAATGTTTATTGTAAACTTTTTACTTCAACAATGGCAGAAAGATTAATAAAATGTATAGAAAAACAGATTCACACAGATCAGATTGGATTTGTCCCTAAAAAGAACATGAAAGATAACATACATTTTGTGATTGATGCAACTGAAAGAGTCAAGAAGAAGAGGAAGAAAGCTCCATTTATAGTTTTAGATGCAGAGAAAGCCTTTGATAATGTGGCTGGGTCTTTTTTAATGAAAACTCTACAATATTTAGATTGTGGCTCAAGCTTTCAGAACTGGATGCAGGCAATTTATACTAGACAACATGTTAAGATTTTGAACAATGGTGTATTAACTGATAGCTTTCAAAGGGAGACAAGAACATGTCAAGGATGTCCTCTATTGCCTCTTTTATTTATCATTGTATTGGAAATTTTAGCAAAGAAGGTAAGACAGGATGCAAACATTACAATCTTTATAATAGGAGGAGGAGAATATAAAATGAAATGTTAAGCAGATGATATAGTTTTTACTATTTTGGATCCGGATCAATCTATACAGTATATAATGGAGCAAGTTGAAAGATTTGGACTTTCTTCAGAATATAAGATCAATAAGAAAAAAACAAAAATTATATTAAAATTCATAACAAAGCAGGAAGAGGAGCATATAAAAAAATCAGGATGTGTAATAACTTCAAACCCAGTCAAATACTTAGGGATAAATATCACAGGACATAATGGTGCACTTTTTCAAGACAATTATCAAATAACCTGGATGAAGATCCAAAAACACTTACAAAAATTGCCTAAATTAAAAGCATCATGGTTGGGAAGAATTTCAATCATAAAAATGAATGTACCACTTAAACTGATCTTGAACACAGATACATAATCTTCTGTGGGTTAAGATGTCAGTTAAGAAGGCTTTCATTTCAAATAACAGTGTGTTAAGAGAGAGTTTAATAAAAAATTGGTATTCCATGAGGAAAAAAGAATAGTTCTCTAATCTCCCCTTTGATGTCCCCAGTTGAAGCATATGGAAAACATTTAAGAGGAAATAATGATTGTATAACTTATCGAGATGCTATTGATCAATCAGGACTAGTTAAATCTTGGCAAAAACTGAAAGACGAAAGGAAAAACATACAGTGGCTCCTTTATGATCAACTGATTTCAAGATTGAAAGGGCAAATATATCAAGGAGAAGCTATTTTTAAGAGATCTGACAGATTTTGAAAAGCTGATTGTACAACATAATGATCATCTACCAGAAAAAATCTACAAACTGTTTTTACACTATGATACTGAATGCCATCAAGATAAGAAAGGTATGACAATTTGGAAGCAGAATTTTGGTGAAGAAATATCAAATATCACAGACATGGTCACTGTTAGTCAAGCATTAATAGAAAATTGGTATAAGATGTTTTATTGTTGGTAAATTACTCTAAAGGATATTGAAAAAATAGATAAGAATTACAATGGAAAATGCTGGAAATGTGACAGGATGGATGGAACTTTCTATCATATGTGGTGGACTTGTGAAATAACGAAAAAATGGAAACTGATACATGCAGAAATGCAGAAAAAAATTAAAAATAAGTTTTCTATGATTCCCAAGAATGTGCTTTGAATATTGTGCCAGGGAGCCTTTAAAAATATGTCAGAGATATTTAAGTATATGACAACAGCAGCAAGAATCACAATTGCTTTTAAATGGAAATCATTGATTAATGAAGAAATAGACTAGCAAAATATGCTGTGATAGCAAAGTAACTATGTAAACAGAAGACCATTGGAAGAATTTAATGATAAATGGAAATTTATCAGCATTTCTAATGGGAGGGGAGTTTGGAAAAGGAAAAGAAAAGCAGTAGAGGACTTGAGGCAATCAGAAGATCTCTTGTACAGATCAATGGCTTCTTTTCTGTTAAACTCTCATAGAGCGTCGAAAGATAGGAAAATAGATAGTCCTGGGGGATTGAATGTATAGACCAATTTGTTTAAATTTCCCTTGGCAATTTTGCTCACTTTGTTCATTTTAGCTTGTTCTGTTCACATTAGTTTGTTCTGTTTTATATTTCCTTTATGTATTTGTGTATGTTAAGAAAATTAAGATTTTTTTTTTAAGGGAATCTCCTGAAGACCAGTGCTAGTCCACAGACCAGTGGTTGAGAACTACTGCTATAGAGTGTCTCTGTTTGCTTTCGCAGCTATGAGTATTAGATCAAAGGCAGCATTGAGGGGCGTAGCAAATTACCTGTAATTAAATTAGTTTTCATTTTACTTTAATAACTATTTTATCAGTTTTAACATCTGATACTAATGAATTTCCCTAATTGCCTAATATTCTAGAATGTTTTCGGTAAATTTTGTAAAGGCCTATGGCTAAATACAATAAAAATTTTGTCTGACTTACCGACTGACTCATCTAGGCAGTGGAGAGACACCAAGCTGTGGCCTGGACAACAGTCTAACTAACATCCAGTGGTTGGGCAAGATGAGCTCCAATGGACTGAGCCCCTGCAGTGTGAAAACAGAGAAGGAGAACCAGACTCCCAAGCAAAAAATAATTAAGGTAATTAAAGGCAAGGTGCATGTTCAAACCAAGCCAAGGTATGTGTGTACAGGGTTCCACTTTAAAGTAAGTGTGTTCCAGGTTGGAATCTAGAGACTTCTCTTGTACTTTTAAATTTGTGGCTGCCTCAAAAGAAATGAGGCTCCTTAATGTTTTGGTCAGTTATAATCTTTTACCTACTTTAAGAAGCAAGCTTCTACTGTGTTTCCCAAAAATAATACCTAACTGGAAAATAAGCCCTAGCACGATTTTTCAGGATGCTTGTAATATAAGCCCTACCCCAAAAATAAGCCCCAGTTAAGATCATCAGCTAGATGGACAGGAAAACATGGTAGTACATCCATTGCAATGCACAATAAACATATTGAATTATAAAATAATAATGTTAATATATAATTGAATATAAATAAATAATATTATTTGCATTAATACTTAAATGCTAATAATTAAGTATTTGTAAATACCAAAGCAGGCACTTTGGACGAGAGGTAAACACCTATGCAATCAGATGAACGCAAGACTTATTGCCAAATGACCAGAGTATAGACACAATGCACGGATAACATCAATACGTTGTGTGTTGTAACGGACGTACTTAATGCATGGATGCAAAATGCAAGATGGGTGCAAAAAGAAAGAGCTATTCCATCGAATACAAGAAAGGAATTGTGGAGGACTCTTGGGGCAAGAATCTTATGGCTTTTGTAAGAAAAAATAAGATGTCACCTGAAAATAAGTCCTAATGCATCTTTTGAAGCAAAACTTAATATAAGACCTGGTCTTATTTACGGGGAAGTACAGTATGTGTGTGAGAGAGGTAGACAGAATAACTGCAGCAAAAAGGGATGGAAAAACATCTGTCTCCTCTCTTATGGTAGTGAAGAATCAAAATGTTCAGAACTTCCGGCTGACATAGCAGCAAGACAGCTGTGGAGAACGGGGCTCCATGCTCCACGTCGAAATGCGTTCTACAGGAAGCCCGGGGGCGGGGGCATCCAAGCCCTGTCAGGGCAGGGATTAGAAGCCCGAGCATACTCTCCCCAAGAGCGAAGAATTAAATTTGAACTTATTTTATATTAACTGGTAGAAGAAGCTCTCTTATTTTTCTAATCTCCATTTTGAAGACATGGTGGATTCCTCCAGTTTCTGCATGGTTGAACAAATAACTTGTTGGCTGCCATCCTGTGGTCATTTTATTCTTTAACAGATACATTGTTTGCCAAAAAAAAAAAAAAACCTTATTTTTCTCTTTTCCTAATTTTTTGTTGCTATTTTAATTAAACCTTTTACTTTTAACATGGATTCATCTTGGGCATCTACATCTGCCTCTCAAAACTTACAAACAACACTCTTGGCAATACAAGCATCTTTAACATCTATTCAAGCATCTCAAGAGTCTATGCAAAATACTATACAAGAATTTGTTTTGGAACAAAAGGATGAATTGGACAAATTGGATAGCTATGTCTCGAAGATAATGAATCAATTTGCAGGTTCTGGTATTAAAACAAAATGAACAAAAGATACAAGTTGTGAAAAAGAAGGCTGAAGTTTTTGAAGAGAAAATTGAAAAGATGGCTCAAGAGAAACAACAATTAACACAAATAAATAAGTTATTATGGGATTCAGTTGCCATATTGGAGAGATTTCAGAACACACTAGAAGCAAGAAATGAAAACCTGAGTGGCTTAATAAACACTATGCTAACAGATGGTCCTGTTTTGGAAAAGGAAAAGGCTGATAAACAATCTGACCTGGTCTATAGAGTTAACCTAAACTATGTTAGAAGTTATAAATTTCTGTGGGAGAATGGATAATTTTAAAGGAATTATATATTATTATTATTATTATTATTATTATTATTATTATTATTATTATTATTACTATAACATTTCTATGCCGCCCCTTGCCAAAGCCTCGGGGTGGCTTACAACACAATAAAATACATTGAAATACAATAGAACATAATAAATTACCATTAAATACAAAAATACAAAAAATACACTGAGTTACAAACATAATAATATAAAATTAAAATTATCAGTATAAAATAAGTAAATAAATAATATAGGAGGAGAAAAGAGAAGGAAAAAGAAGTTGCCCTGGCCAGATCATATGTTTTAACAATTAAAATGATGTTTAAATAAAAAGGTCTTTACCTGGCGCCGAAAAACCAGTAACGACGGTGCCAGGCGGACCTCTTTGGGGAGTGAATTCCATAGGTTGGGTGCCACCACAGAGAAAGCCCTCCTCCGAGTACTTACTCTCCTAATTTCTTTCATGGAGGGTTCCTGGAGAAGGGACTCTCCCGCAGATCTCAAAGGGCGGTCAGGCATATACGGACGTAAGCGCTCGTTCAGGTAGCCAGGACCCAAGCCGTTTAGGGCTTTATAGGTCATAATCAACACCTTGAATTGGGCCCGGGCTTCAATGGGAAGCCAGTGAAGCTGACGGAGGACTGGAGTCATGTGAACATAACGCCCCGTCCCCATCAGCAACCTGGCAGCTCTATTTTGCACCAATTGAAGTGTTCGGACCGTCTTCAGGGGAAGCCCCATGTAAAGCACGTTACAGAAGTCTAGGCGGGAAGTCACCAGCACGTGTGTCACCGTCGCCAGGCAGTCGTACTCCAGGTAGGGGCGCAGCTGATTAATCAGCCGAAGCTGAAGGCAGGTGCTCCTCGCCACCGCTGTCACCTGAGCTTCCAAAGAAAGCTCCGGGTCGAGGAGTACTCCTAAGCTGTGGACCTTATCCCTAAGAGGGAGTGTTGCACCATTCAGGACCAGGTCAAATCCACCCTCTCCGAAGCCCGATCCGCCAACCAACAGGACCTCTGTCTTGTCTGGGTTGAGTTTCAGTTTATTGGCCCTCATCCATTCCATTACCTCGGCCAAGCACCGGTTCAGCACAGCCACTGCCTCACCTGGAGCCCTGTGGTACTCCATGGCATAGCTGCCATGATGTAGAGACATGGTCCCCCAGCACCACCTTCTGGAATCGACCGTTGAGATAGGAGCGGAACCACTGCAAAGCAGTGCCTCCAGCCCCCAATCCCGCTAGCCTATCCAGAAGGATACCATGGTTGATGGTATCGAAAGCCGCCAAGAGGTCCAGGAGAACCAACAGGGATGCACTCCCCCTGTCCTTCTCCCTGCACAGGTCATCGTACAGGGCGACCAAGGCAGATTCAGTACTGTACCCGGGTCTGAAACCGGACTGAAAAGGATCCAGATAATCAGTTTCATCCAAGAGTGCTTGGAGTTGTCCCGCCACCACTCGCTCCAACACCTTGCCCAGAAACGGGATGTTGGCCACTGGTCTATAATTAGTGGCCATCTCTGGATCCAGTGACGCCTTCTTCAGGACCAGTCGGACTACCGCCTCCTTTAAAGGGGCAGGCACTCGACCCTCCCTCAGAGAAGCGTTAACCACTTCCAAGATCCAGGTCCCAATCCCATGCTTGGAGTTATTTATTAACCAAGACGGGCAAGGATCCAATAGGCAAGTGGCGGGACGTACTCGTCCAAGCACCTTGTCCATATCATCGGGCCGCAGTAATTGAAATTCCTCCAATAATTTTGGACCAGACGGCAGCGTTGGTGTCTCCTCAGAGACCTCTGATTCATTAGTGGAGTCCAGCTCATGACGAATCTGAGCGATTTTCTCCCTGAAATGCCTGGCAAAGTCGTCACAGCGGGCCTTTGAGGGTGGCATCGGATCTTCCTTAGGACCCGGGCAAACCAGGCCTTGTACCACTCGAAAAAGCTCTGCCGGACGGCATTGTGAGGAGGCAATGGAAGCGGAAAAAAACTTCTTTTTCGCTGCCTTCACCGCCACAGCATAGACCCGATAGTGGGCTCTCAAATGTGTTCGGTCAGATTCATCCCGTGATTTCCTCCACCTACGCTCTAGTTGTCTCCCAACCTGCTTCATCGCCCGCAATTCAGGTGTATATCAAGGGGAAGAGCGGACTCTGCCCGGTGGGAGAGGACGCTTGGGAGCTATCGTGTCCACAGCCCTGGTCATCAGCGGTAGGCAAGCCTATTTCAACAAGAGTCCTTGGCCAGCCCAGCCCCCTTCTCGTCCCCCGAACGGCACCCAAACGGCGGCGACCCCCTTTGGCCACCGCCCTTTGGCCGCCGGCCCTTTGGCCGCCGGCCCCGGCCATGGCCGCTGCTTTGTGTCCGCAGGGCGCCTCCGAGTCCCGCCCCGTCACGCACCGCTCTCCAGCGCCGCGTGCGCCTGCGCTGGCTGCTGGAGCTGGCTGCCGTCGATGTCTGCCTGCATTCGCTTGCCCATGCGGCGTGCTGCTGGAGGTGGGCGGAAGTCTTTCTTGCAGCGCGGGATTTTATAAATGGGATGGCATGTTTATAGGTGATAAGGGTAATGACATTTCTTGGTGGCATAAAGTTCAAATATGATTGAGATATGTGAAGTCTATAGAATATATGATCTTATAAAGGAATTAGTAACATTTGATTAAATGATTTTAAAACTGAATGAAAAAATGATTAAAGGATTGTATAACTTTTTTTGAGGTATAAAATGAAAGATGAATGAATTAAGGAAATTATAATAGTACAGGCACAAAATGTTGGACATAACATTGAACTATAGAAACGGTAAAAGTTGTGAGAAAGAAATATCAAGGTAACCTTAGTAATCTCATATAAAGAAAACTTATACAAAGGTTTTATAGTTAGATAGATAGCTAGAAGTAAATGACCTATAGATAGTTCTTATTGTTAAGTTTAGTAGAAATGTTTTTAAACTTGTCAATTAGACGTTGGAAATGTAAACACAAATTTAAATCTTAAGGCTTTTCTTTTTCTTTTTTTATTAGATAATATTTTTAATGATATTGATAAACAGACCATATATTTGATCCTATATGTAATTACTATGGCAAGGATTTTATTTGCTCACTACGGGAGGAGTGAAGAGCCATACATTGAAGAGTTGAGCTCAGAAAGGATTTTGGATTACATGGCGGGACAGATCAATCTTGTCTCTGAAGGAGGAGGAGGATGTATATCTCTACCAAACCTGGAATTCATTCTGTTATCAGCTAGAGAAACGGGACTATGCGTAGATTTGAATATGACTATTGACTGTTAAAATGAGGAAGGGGTTAACCCAGTATATCCTATGTCTTAAATAATCATTGTTTTTAAATTTAGATTATAGTGAAAACAATAAAATTTATTTTTAAAAAAGAATCAAAATGCTCAGGGAGATTTCTGTATTACCAACTGGTAATCCTGCTTGCATAAGACACTTCACAAATGGCAGAATTGACAATCTGCAGGTAATCCGACTTCAGATTGTGGTGCTTGCCAATTGAATGTGGTCAAATATATCATGATATATCCTTATATAGAAAGTTGCTTTAATTCTTAATTGCACTATGCTTTTACCTAAAAGGCAGGGATGAGGGCTAATTGTTCCTAGTCCCCACGATGTGAAAATACAGGCACCCTTGTCTTCCCCTGCAGTATATGGTAGGCAGATTTAAAAACAGTACTCAAACTACCAAACATAATTTAAATACATTTATATTTATATGACAGTGTTGTAAATAATCAATTATAATCTTTCAGATACTTTTTTAGAAACAGAAACAGAGCGAGTCAGAAGGGGTCTCCTGGACCATCTAGTCTGACCCCCAGCTCCAGCCGGCTCTGCTCATGACATGTCCACCATGTGCATGTCTAGTCTATCTTTGAACATCTTCACTGATGAGGCCTCAACGACCTCCCGTGGAAGCCCATTCCATACCCTCGGGGTCCTAACTTTCAGGAAGTGCTTCCTGGCATCTAAATGGAACCTTGGTTCCCTGAGCTTTGCTCCGCTGGAGCATGTCCTGCCCTCCTCTGCAGGGGAGAACAGGTCTCTACCCACCTCCGTCTGACACCCCCTCATATACCTGTGTGTCACCAACAGATCCCCTCTGAGTCTCCTCCAGGCTGAAAAGACCCAGTTCCCTCAGTCTCGCCTTATACTGCTTCCCCTGCAAACCATCCAGCAACCTTGTGGCCCTATGCTGCACTGACTCTAACCTGGCTATATCCTTCCTGTAATGAGGGACCCAAAAGAGAACACAATACTCCAGTTGCGGGGGCACCAGAGTCGTATAGAATGGTAGTAATACCTCTCTCAATTTACTTTATTATTTATTATTTTTAATCCCATTCTTCATCTATCAAACCCTAAGATATATAGCCTATCTCTTTTTTCAGCCAAGCACAGTTCATTAAGTTCACCAACTACATAGCAATTGGCCTAGAGTCACGCACTGAGTTTCCTGGCTGAATAGAAATTTAAACCTGACTGGAACCCAACTGTCTGTTCACTATGCCACTTTAAGTCTGTGTTTTCACAACTACAGTTAACCAGCCTGACTTTTTCCAAAAATCTTCATTTTTACATTTCTACTAAATTAGTACTTTAAGTATTTTACAAGTCCGACTTAGAGGTTCACTGTTTGGCCTTCTATTGATTTCCAAAAGGGTTCACATTGCCTTCCCCTCTTTCCTACTTGCCAGGTTGAACAAGATTCTGCACCTTTATCCTCTACTACCTCATTGCAGGAATCCTTCTCTGAACGTCCCCCCTACTCCTATATGGCTATGATCCAGTTTGCTATCAACAGCACTGAGAAGAAGCGCATGATGCTGAAAGACATCTACTCCTGGATTGAGGATCATTTCCCTTATTTCAAACACGTAGCTAAGCCAGGCTGGAAGGTAAATACTAGCTTGGTCTATAATGCTTGCATGGGGAAATAAGCAAATAGTTACCCCTTTCAGAGCCAAATACGATCAAGACTGTGTACTCTGCATTAAAATAATTAAAATACTGTGCCAAGAAAAATGGAATTTTGTAACCTATATTAATTATGCAAACTGGGCATTTTATATACAGTGGTACCTCGACTCACAAACACCTTGGTTCACGAATAAATTGGGTCATGAACAAAAATGTCTGAAAAATTTTGACTTGGGTCGCAAACACCGCTTTGGGTGACGACCAAGATCGCAGCCATCTCCCCACCCCACCCCTGAGTGGGGAGATGGTCAAATCATGCTGGGGGTGGGCGGGAGATAGCCAAGATTGCGCTCATCTCTCCTTCCCCCAGCGCTCCATTTGCGCCCGTCTCTTCCTCCCCCTGTGTGCCCACGATCACACCCATCTCTCCCCCCTGGGATGATGGGCGCGTGCTGGGATGACAGGCGCCTGCAGGGATGACAGGCGTGATCTCAGTCATGCTGGGGGTGCGGGGAGATGGCCGCGCTTGTGCTTGGGGTGGGGAGGGGGGAGATGGACGCGATCTTTGTTGTCGTCACTTTGCTTCACATTTTTCTGATTTAAAAAATGGTTACAGAACGGATTAACCTTATTTACATTGAACTTTATGGGGAAATCTAAGTTGGCTCACAACCAGTTTGGGTCACGACCAGAGTCCTGGAATGGATTAAGTTCATGATCCATGGTACCACTGTAATTTATCGTATACTGCATAACTGCAGTGTTTTGATTTTGAATAATTTCTCAGGGTTTCTTTTCCTGAAAAAAGATGATCAGTTTTGCTGTGGTATCCCACCCCACTGATTTCTAAGATTCAGCACATATTGCTTATCCATTTGAAGCATATCCTTTCTGCCACAAGTTCTAGAAGCCTGTGGTATTTTTTATTGTTTATGCTTAAGAAAGTTAAAATTTTCATAAATTATGATTTATAGCCATATCCAACTCTGTGCTTTTTCCTTATTCCAGCAAAACTACATCATTCTTGCATTTTATTAAAATATGAAAAATCACAGAATCATAGAATAGTAGAGTTGGAAGGGGCCATGATGGTCCAACCCCCTGCTGTTGCAGGACACCAAGTTATGCCATCCCACTCAGATGGCTGTCCAGCTTCTTATAAATAATCTCTATTCTCCTTTGCTCATTGCACTGTTAATTTCTGCAAGAACAGAACATTCTTGAAAAGCCAGGTCTTCTTAATATGCTCATCTAGGCTTGCCCATTAATGGATCCCTTGCTGCACTGTGAGTTTATTGTGTTTCCTACCACAAATTCCTGAAGGCAACAGTTTACATACTACTGTGATATGTGTAATTGTCTTAGATTATGGCAGGAGTAGCTCCATATATTTTGTTAGTGCCAGAGTTAGTACATACATAAATGTGTTTCATTTGATCATTCAGCTTTTAAGGTTCCTAATAGAATGTGTGAACTACCTCAGTTTGAAGAGCATTGAGTTCAAAGTGACAACACTTTACTGTAGGTAGTACTTTATCATTGATTGGTACATATAGTGAATTGGCTCTGTCAGACTGGATGGGAGCCACATAGACAGCATGGAAAATGTTTGATAAGTATTACATTAAAATGGTCAAAAACAGCTGAGACTTTCCAGTCTCAATGTACCCCCAGCTATGTCAGTTTTTGGAAAGATTGCAAGCAGGTTGGCAAGTATGCCATCATTTTCTGCTTGCAATCAGTGACTGTTTCACTTGAATAAGTCATCATACAACAATCACTAGTGATAAAACTCTTCGGCTAGTAAGATGTCACTTCAAGTACAATAATTTTCAATGGATTCACGAGTGTGATTCAGCTGTCCATCAGTTTTCTTCAATTACATGAATGTATGTCTGAACTAGGCCTTAAATGTTAAGGAATGGAGAGTTACCTTACACAGCTAGCAGAGAAAAATCTTTCAAAGTGTAGATGAATAAGTTGTATGATTAAATGCTTCTCAGTGTTATTTAACATGTTATGCCATACAAATAGAAAAGAGTGTATCAGTAAAATGGAATCTAAATAAGCCTTCTCCTCAATATGCAGTTGTTATTTGTACAAATAATTTTTTCTTGCGTAGTGCATTCAGCTGTGAAATAAGAAATTTAAAAGTGAAAACCAAGGTCTTTGTGAGGTTTTCAGGTTTTCCAGTGTTCTGTAAATGAAAATGAAAACAACAAAGGTTTCTCCTTTCCCATCCAGAACTCAATACGGCACAATCTTTCCCTTCATGACATGTTTGTTCGGGAGACATCTACCAATGGTAAAATCTCTTTCTGGACTATTCACCCTGAAGCCAACCGGTATCTAACTCTAGATCAAGTATTCAAGGTGAGTGGCTTTCATGCAGGAAAGGAGGTTTCTTCACCAGTTCTTTGTCTATCAAACACCTGATTGTTTCCAGTATCTGGAGAGGGCGTGAAGACATGCTAATTTAGAGCTGATCTTTTGTAGAACCAAGGACAGAATGTATGGTTTTGAGAACACAAACTAATTCTACACAAAGCAATTATAATGGCTGTGGAGAAGAAATTGGATAGTGGCAAGGCAGAGAACATAATGAAGATGCCCATTCTTCTAGAGCTCTTATCAGCTATTGACACCATAACCATCAAAACCTCTGGACCTCCCAAGAAGGATAGGAGTGGCAAGCAATTCCTATTCCTATATTATGGATCAGCAGCATTAGCTATCACAACAGACTGCTTCTCTGTCTTCCAGGCTTTGTCCTATGGGATACTACAAGGTTCTATCCTGGCTCTATTGCAGATGGTACAGGACCAGCATTATGTGTGTATATCTGCCAGTCCCAGTTAGCAACTTGGCTGCTCTATTCTGAACCAATTGAAGTATTCAAATCGTCTTTAAGGGCAGCCCCACATACAGTGTGTTATAATACTCCAATCAGGACGTTACCAGAGCATGGTTCACCATTGCTAGGCTCTGCTCATCCAAGTAAAGGTGTACTTGGTGGATCAGGCACAGCTAAAGGAAAGCACTCCTTGCCTGGAGCTCCAAGGATAACTCTGGGTTGAGGAGCACTCCCAAACTACGCACCCTATGCCTTAGGGGGAGTGCAGCCACATCCATAACAGGGCAGAGATCACTTCCTTGAGAGCTGAATCACCTACCAACAAGACCTCCATCTTATCTGGATTAAGTCTCAATTTATTGGCCCTCATCCAGCCCTTCACTCCAGTCAGACACTGGTTAAGGACAGCCACTGCCTCACCTGGATTGGAAGTAAAAGATAGGTAGAGCATGGTATCATCAGTGTACTGGTGACTCTGCAGCCCAAACATTCGGATGACCTCTCTCAGCAGTTTCATGTAGATGTAAAAGTTTTAAGAAGTAGAGTTTTAAAACAGAATAAAACTACAGTAAAACCCAGCAATGGTATAATGATCTTAAAATACAATAACACTTGTAAAAACTAGACAGTAGTAGTAAAAGGCCAGGGAAAAATAAAAGATCTTCACGTGGTTCTTAACAGATTATAATGCAAATACCAGGCAAATATCTCTGGGGAGGATGTTCTGCAACTGTGGTCCTACCACTGGAAAAGCTCTTTCTTCTTCATGGTCTCTGCACATCACACAGATAGGGTTTTGTGCCTGTGCAAAGCCTAGAATCAGGAAAAGCTTCTGTAGCTTAGCATTCATTTTGGGCAGAAGCCTCTCTCTTCCTGTTCCCAGGAAGCACAGGGAGGGGTTACTGCCCATTCCCACAGTTCCTTTTCAACTGCCATCACATTAGACCAGGGGCCCTCAAACTTTTTCAACAGGGGACGAGTTGAAAGGTGGTGGCGGCAGGCATGGGCCAGTGAGGGCACGGCGAGGTGGTGGCGGGTGCGGGCATGGGGAGGCAAGGCGAGTCCAAAACCTCTGAGGTGGGCTGGATAAATGGGCATAGCGGGCCGGATCTGGCCCACAAACCGTAATTTGAGGACCGTGCATTAGATTCTAAATCACTTCCCTTTTGCTCTTCTCATCTGTCTAGGTATTTTTAATTCTACTGTGTCCCCTTTTTCTCCCTAATTCCAAACCATCCTTATCCTCGACAATCCTTGCTCCATCTTTTCACTTTTTCTTAAAAGAAAGAAAGAAAGAGAAAGTGAGAGAAAAAGAAAGACACATGGTGGATACCTGTGCTATATGCCAGGCCTTCACCAAGCAGACCTGCAAACAACAGGCCTACCAACTTAAGGCTGTCTTCTGGAAGCAAGTTCTCCAGATGGTTGGCTCCTCAAAAGGTAGAAGTACCTATCCCCCCCATGTCTGTGATGATGTACCCTCACCAGAGCCACAATGATGTCACTCACTGAATGCCCGTATGGACAGGAAGGCCATGAAAAGACCAAAATAGATGTCCATGTTTGCTGCACCAAAACAGAAGTATAGGCACCACATGAGCTCTGCTAGGCCGGCAATTCTCACCTTCAGGTCTCTCAAGCCCACTGACTGCCTGAGAACCCTGAAACTCCTGGAGAAGCCCTCCACTGTGTCACAGGATGCGCTGGGAGAGGACCCTGCAGCATCTCCAGACCATTGCTCCTACACCTCTGTGGACTCCTGGGAATTGACACCACCTGCAGCACTCACCTGCACCTCCATCTGAGGTGAGCTCAGTGCCAGAACAACCCACCACTCCAGCCTCAATACTACAATAAGAAGCCAGGGGACACCAGGATTGTTCCCGCTATCCCCTTTCAGACCTGGAGTGGGCCTCAGATGTATCTCCACCTCCCAGCCACTATTAAGATGCCTCCAACCTCTTCAGCAAGGATGACCCAGTGCATTGGTATTGTGCCAGTACTGAGACTCGGTATTGAGAGAACTGATACAATGCTGGCCATTGCTGTCAGTACTGAGCAAGCTGCCACAGTCCACCATTCACAATGCTACCAGACTCCATCTTTCCTCAATGGCCAGACACAAGATCTACCATCAAGCCAAGAAGGATCCTTGGTACCAAGATGACACCACTCACCACTCACAGATGACACCACTCACCACTCACAGTACTGAGCTGGCAACATTCCTAGGTGACATGGACTTTCGGTACTGAGCTAGCAGCATCCCTCGGTACCAAGCTGATACCATCATCCCTCAGTACCAAGCCACCACTGATCTCCAGTACTATTGATGTCAGGGCACTAATGCCTACAAAGTCCATCACTACTTTCCAGTGCAGAGGACTATGAATCATGCAGAGTTGGTGGTCTCCCTGCAACTATCAGAGCCCTCCCTGGACACTGCGATTTTGATCAGGGTCCTGTATCCCACTTGGAGGAGAAGGGATGCTTCATGGAGAAGGTGCTTCAGATGGTTGCAGATCTGGGGCTGAAAACAGAACAGGCACGGGACCAGATCATCAATCTAATATATGATGCCCTGGGTTCCAAAGGCTCAACACCCATCCTTTCCTACTGGCCCTCCTCCAAATAGTCAAGAGTTCCTGGAACTCCCTGCAGTCTTCCTTTCTACATGATGAAAGGCAGAGTCAACTTACTGAGTGCAGGACAGGGACATGCCTTTCTTGTCCCATCACTCAAAACACCAACTTCAGTAAAGCTGAGTCTGCACAGGGTAGCATACAGAGACAGCACTTGGCTTCACAGGACCAGGAGGTACACCACCACAACAGCCTAGCAAGGAGGACCTACACTGCCTCATTCCTCAGACTGCGAGTGTCCAATTACAAGGCCATGATGGCCTGATACCAATTTTTCCTCTGGTCCATTGCAAACACCTCTCAGGGGAGCTCAGGGATGCCTCCCTCTGGCTCTAATCAGAGGCATCTTAGCTTTCCAAATACCAGAAGGAGGCAGCCAGGCACCATGTGGACTGTGATGCCAAAGCAATGATGGCAGTGGCCATCTGCTGACTTGCCTGGCTGCATTCAGTGGGCCTCCCACAAGAGACTCACTCCCAAATTGAAGACTAACCCTTCAACAGAGGTGGCATGCAGAAGAGTGTCACTGAAGGTGACTGTAGAGTTGCATGCAGTAGAAGCTGCAGTTTGTGCTAATCAAATGGAGCATAGTAGGAATAACACATTCCTGCTACAGTAACTGCCCTTACATTTCTGGGTGCAATTCAAGTTGGTACAACTCCTTCCTCTGGTCATTCACATCTGCAGGGAGTTGGTGCTCTCTCATTTTCTTTACAAAGAAAGGCTATAGAGCCACATCTGTTTCATACTGGAGCTCATGCTTCTAAATATGCGCCCGCTGGAAGCACATTTATCCACTTTTCTGGTGTTTCAAAAACTGACTGAAACCCTGGCTCCTGAGGAAAGCATTCGATGCTGCCTGAGAGCAATGATTATTTTATTCATTATTTTTCCCTCATTTATTTCTGACAGGTACCTAACAATTGTATATTTAATTAGAGTGTTTCAAGGCTACTTTATTTATGATATTTTACTATTTCTCCAGACTCAAAAGAGCATTCCTTCATCTTACATAGTGAAAACAGGAACTTTGCAGTATTTTTGATTATCTTTCCTAGAGCTTCAAAATCTGATGTTATTTCACCAAAGCCAGAAGAAAGCCAGACTGATTCCAGAGGGTGTTGACTATCACTGAGATCCTAGTGTAAAAGAGGAGAGAGAGCATTTTGAATAGATTGAAGCCCAAAGCATCATGGGTGGACTTTTCTTTCCAGATCTATTTCCAGCATTTTTGTCAAAGGCATCTTGTAGACTCCAACTTTCTGGGTTGTCCCCCAAGCACTTGAAGACTGTTAGCACCAAGTAGAAAAGAGAAAATTAGTTTTTCCCCAGATGCCTATTAAGCCCATGTTATTCCACTTCCCAAAAGACAAATGCAAATCAGAATAGGTTAATACTTCCAAACCCAGAATAATATGTGTGTGTGTGTGCTCACGCGCAGTTATAACACAAAGACCCCCTGGAGGAAACTACCAGCATCAACACACAAAGCAGGAACATTATACATATACATTAATTTTACTAACCATTCAGAACAGGTCTGTTTCCGTATATGTTAATATAAGCTGTTCATATATCTAAAAAGCATCCAGATTGAAACTGATGACTGTAAGATTCATGTATGACTATAATTCAGTAAGAGCAGGAAAGTCTTCAGAATATTGAATTCTGAAAAGTTTGTTCTTCCAGACTTACAGTATAAGTTAAAATGGGCATCATCAGATCTTTCAACAACTGATTATATGGTTCAGCTATCCAGTGCTAGATTTATTTGCATTAACAGAAGATGCTCAAGCGCCAAGATCTTTTCAAGGTCTCATGCCTCACAGCAATGGGAACAAATGCATAGGATGAAGAATGGTGTTGAGAATCTACACATTTCCTTACATCATCTTACTTCCAGAAGTAGTCTTAAGTCAACTGCAGTAGAAGTAATTATCATGACTCCACATTGCCAAGATGTACTTGGTTGCTAGACCTAAATTTCCCAGCATGAGGAATCATCTTGTAGGGTCTGGTATTGCATCCTTGCCTGGGGCTGTTCAAGTTGACAGTGTTGTAGGCTGAAAGGAAATTAGGGAAAGTTAGGGTACCCAGAAGACATTCTTAAAACTCTTTTGATGTCAAGGAGACATTCTACTAAAAGGGGTTAACCCTTTTGGTTTGGTGCAAAGACAGCAGAAAAATTATTTTCTAGAGGGCATTCAGGAAGTTTTGAGTCTCCCCAAGTAAGATTGGATAAAGGCTTAAGCACACATACAATCAAATTACAAGCAGCAGAGCTTAATACTAACTTGGCATCTGCAGTCCTGAAGGGATCTGCCAATTCTGGACATTTGTAAACCAGCCATGTGAACCATGCCTGCACTTCCACTAAGGATTATATGAGAGATTTAGCTGCTTCCACTGATGCAGACTTTGTACAAGGTGGTGACATCTTAGCAAATAGGTCTCTTTGCCTGCACCATTGTTTTTCTGCTGTACTATCTCCCAAGATGAACAATTGTTCTTTTTGGGTCTGGAGAAAATTGGAAACTGGTCTTATAGAGAATTTGTGTTCTGATGGCCTTACAAAGAGCGTTCTGCTCTCTTCAGAGACCATTTCAGGACTAGCATTTAATGTAATCTGTGAGTGTGTTGGCTTCTGCTTCTGCTGCATGTGTGGGGAGGTAGGAAAGGACTCATGCATTTACTCTCTTCCTATGGTATTATACTTGCATTTAATGTATTGGTTTTCATGTTGCAGTTTTACTTAATTTTTATGCCCTCGTTATGGTTCATTATTTTTGACTTCTCAGTCAAAATCAAGACTTTGACTTTGTTCTGTTATTCCAGTCTAAGAGGACAAGTCTCCTTTCCCTGAAAAAGCAACTGTTGGCTCCATGTAAGGGCATCCAAAGTGAGGGAAAGCCCCCATGAAACTCTAAGAACAGAAACTGATGGCAACAACAATTTCTGTTTTTACATTGTGTCAGGAGAGAGAACACTGTGAAGAAACTTCAAAATGAATAATAATAGAATTATTCAAACATAATGCTAAACCATATTGAAGTGTTTGGGTGCTTCTGTGCAAGCCTTATTCACAGAGGTTTATGAGAGTTTTGACAACTCCTGACCTTCCTGTGTGTACTTCTTTTCCTTAAAGCAAAACATATTTTAAGGAGAAACAGATGGAACAGTTGCACAATGCCTGCTAATTGCTAGCACTGGCCTCTGTATACCTTACAAACAAGAACCTTAGGCCCCTATTAAGTGTGGTAATTAGACACTTCTGATCCTGGTTTAGCAGCGAACAATAATTTGCAAATGTGGTTTGCCACTAAACCAGGAACAGAAGTGTTCAGTCACTACATGACGGAGCAGCATGTGAAAATGAGTACAGAAAGTTTATTTCTATAAAAGAATTAGCTGGTAACAGGCACCATTGGCCAATTCACTGGTTAATACTGAAAATCATCAGTTTCATGTATTTATTTGTTATATTTCTATGCCACTAAATAGTATGAAATTCCTAAGTGGTTTACATATAAATATTAAAATCACACTTAAAATAGAATTTTAAAGACAATTTCAATGACAGTAATGATGATAGTATAGAGCAGTACAATGGAGCAGAATGCTTAGTTCAAGTACAAACCAGGGAAAACCTGCATGAATAAGGAGAGCCAGTGTGGTGTAGTGGTTAAGAGTACAGGACTGGAACTCCAAAGATGTGGGTTCTAGTCCCTACTCAGGCATAGAGCTGACTGTTAACTTTGGGGCAATCATAGACTCTCAGCGTAACATACCTGGCATGATTGCTGTTATGAGGATAGAATGCAGAAGAGAACTTTATAAGCTACCCTCAGCTCCTTGCAAGATGGAAAAAAGGCATTCTATAAATGTGATTGATGATGATGATGTTATATGGTCACAGTCCATTTAAAACACAATTGAATTAAAACACAATAAATCAATAAAATCATGCATGACCACAAAAATGGCAGTACAGCAACTGCTTAAAACCTAAATTCAATAACATATGAAAACATGTCCAGTAAATTACATTTGGACCAGCAGAATATTCGTATGGATCTTAACTACAAGGAATAAAATTTCACAGTGGCTTCTGTTATCTGTTTATTAAGATAAGCCAGTAGGTAAGTCACATACCAGTCAGAGGG